GAGGCTGAGGCAGGAGAATTACTTGAACCCTGGTGGCAGAGGTTGGCAGTGAGCTGAGATCATGCCACTGCTCTCCAGCCTGGGTGACAGAGCAAGACTCCATCTGAAAAAAAAAAAAAAAAAAAGAATCATGCTAAATCTACTCTGCCTGTGCTCTGTAAGCAGAACAAGCACATCTGTTTACAGCATAATTTGCTGAATATTTTAAGCCAACTGTTGAGACCTGTCACTAAAAAAAAAAGATTCCTTTCAAAATATTACTACTCATTGACAATGTACCTAGTCACGCAAGCACTCTGATGGAAATTTACAAGGAGATTACTGTTCTCATGCCTGCTAACACAACATCATTCTGCAGTCCATAAATTAAGGAGTAATTTCTACTTTCAAATGTACTTAAGAAATACACTTTGTAAGGCTACCACTGTGACAGACAATGTTTCCTCTAATGGATTTGGAAAAGTAAATTGAAAATCTTCTGGAAAGAATTCACTATTCTAGATGCTATTAAAAATGTTCGTGATTCATAAGGGGAGATCAAAATAGTAACATTAACAGGAGTTTGGAGGAAGTTGATTCCAAACCTCATGGCTGACTTTGAGGATTGCAAGACTTCAGTGGAGAAAGTTACTGCAGATGTGGCAGAAACACCAAGAGAACTAGAATTAGAAGTGGAGCCTGAAGATGTGATGGAATTGCTGCCATCTCATGATAAACCTGAAGAGGCAAAGAATTACTTCCTGTGGTTGAGCAAAGAAAGTGGTTTCTTGAGATGGAATCTCCTGGTGAAGATGCTGAGAACATTATTGAAATGACAACAGAGAATTTAGAATATGACATAAACTTAGTTGATAAAGCAGTTGCAGGGTTTCGGAAGGATTGACTCAAATTTTGAAAGAAGTTCTGCTGTGGGTAAAATGCTATCAAACAGCATTGCATGCTACAGGGAAATCTTTTGTGAAAGGATGAGTCAACTGATATGGCAAATTTCACTGTTGTTGGATTTTAACAAATTGCCACAGCCACCCTAACCTTCAGCAACCACCACCCTTAGCAGTCAGCAGCCAGCAACACTGAGGCAAAACCCTCCACCAGCAAAAAGATTATGGCTTACTCAAGGCTCAGATGATCATTAGAATATTTTAGTAATAAAGTATTTTTTAATTAAGGTATGTACATTTTTCAGACACAATGCTATTACACACTTAATAGACTACAGGAGAGTATGATCATAACTTTTATATGCATTGGAAAACAATTCGTGTGACTTGCTTTATTACAATATTTGCTTTATTGAGGTGGTCTAGAACCAAACTGCACTGTCTCCAAAGTGTGCCTGTAGTAATTTTAAAGTAGAGAAACTGGCAGATACGATATTTACCATGTGTTCAAAGTTAACACCACCAGTAATGAACAAAGAGGTATCACGTGCCTCTCAATCTGATGCACTGAGAAGAACATATCACCTCTCTGATATTCTTGACAAAAATGTTCTTGCCAAACCTGAATAACTGGCCTGTACTTTTTAAATGACTTCTAACTTATGAAAGAAAAAAACAAAGCTGAAGAAATATGACAGAGTAAAGAGGACTCAGGAAACATGACAACTAAATGTGATCCTGGCCTTGAAAAGAGGCAACTGAAAAATGTAGATAAAGTCTGTAGATTAGATAATAATATTAAATTAACATTAGTAGCTGGATTTTTATTGTTATGGTGATAAAACAGAATGTCCCTGTTTTAAATAAATACTCAATGAAGTATTTAGAATTGAAGGAGCATCATACCTGTAACATGATCCCAAATGTTCAGAAAATTTATATATATGCATACCTTACTTACATACATGTGTGTATATGTGTGTGTACATAGAAAGAATGACCAACTAAGTGTGGTAAAATGTAAAACATTTTATCATTTGGGAAATCTAGGAAAAGTACATAGAAATTCTTTGTAACATTTTCATTTTTGCAAATTCTCTGTAAATAAAAAACTTCTAAGAAAAAAGAAAAGTAGCTGGGCACGGTGGTTCATGTCTGTAATCCCAGCCCTTTGAGAGGCGAAGGCGAGCGGATCATTAGGTCAGGAGATCAAGACCATCCTGGGTAACACAGTGAAACCCCATCTCTACTAAAAATACAAAAAATTAGCTGGGTGTGGTGGCATGCGCCTATAGTCCCAGCTACTTAGGAGGCTGAGGCAGGAGAATTGCTTGAACCTGGGAGGCAGAGGTTGCGGTGAGCCGAGATCACACCACTGCACTCCAGCCTGGGCCACAGAGCAAGACTCCATCCCCCCACCCCTCAAAAAAAGGCCAGGAGTGGTGGCTCAAGCCTGTAATCCCAGCACTTTGGTTGGGAGGCCAAGGCCGGTGGACCACTTGAGGTCAGGAGTTCGAGATCAGTCTGGCCAACATGGTAAAATGCCACCTCTCCTAAAAATACAAAAATTAGCCAGGAATAGTGGTGGGCACCTGTAATCCCAGCTACTTGGGAGGCTGAGGATGGAGAATCACTTAAGCCTGGGAGTCGGAGGTGAGCCTAGATCATGTCATTGTACTCCAGCCTGGGAGTGCAGACTCCGTCTCAAACGCCATCTCAAATAAATAAAATAAAAATCAATAAATAAAAACTTAGGAAGCCCCCCATGCCCTTTTGCTCCCCCAACTCCCAACATTAAGAAGCACTGCAATGTCCTGGGCAGTCTTCCCTGAAAGCTATCATGGGACACCCCAGCCACGAGGTCGATAGGGCACCAATGTAGCGCCAAACCCCAGAGCCTAACACAGGGCCTGGCATACACTAGGGGCTCACAAAAGGGTCAATGAATAAATGAACTACAAAGAAGATCCAAAAGTGTAGGCAAACCCCAATTTGTGACTCTTCCTCTGCAAAGCTCCTAGGAACCGTGGGTGTCTTATACAAATGCTGAGTGGGAACGATGAGCAAAAGGCATTGGAATGGAGAGGAAGTGGTGGCTCTACTCTAAGGGATCCTTTTTATTGAGGAGGCAGGGGAGTGCAGCATTGCCCTTGGACTGGCCTGCAAAGGCTCTGCTCTCCTGAAAGATACTATGTATCCCAGCATACAAGGTCTCTGTTGGATCATGCATAAGCCACATGATGCACTAAGATAAGAAGAAATAAACACCAAGATGCCTTAAGATAACAATGAGGATTGAAATAGTTTCATATTCAGTAAACCCTTCATCATGAAAATAATGCCTTATAACATTCTGTTCTTAACTTCCCAAGCCACTAGTACTTGGTTTCTCAAATTCACATTGTTTTTGTATGAGGTCTGAAATTAGCATCATTCTCAGTACCAAAGTTCAAGAGAAGCTTCAAAAAAGTTTGAGATGAAAAGTGTGACTTTGTTTTGAAAGTGCAGCTAATTCACTAATGTCCCAAACTGATTGCCTTTCCAGAAAAATTCAATTCTAAATACTGATGAAGGAAAAAACATGTAATCCGCAGGCCATGGAAATGTATTAGGGGATGTTCCTATAACCCACAGGAAGTAGGGACCTAGAAGAAATGTGCTTTTTTTTAGCCAAGTTACAATTTCACAATCATGAACACTGTGCCACAATATTCCAGAGAAAAAATAAACAAGCCCAACTACAACACATAACAGAGGGCAAGACTCAATATTACAAACCTCATTTGCATATTAATTCAAACAGAGGCCTTTTCACTTTATTAGGAATATAATTTTCAAGGATCTCTAGCTGAGATTGCTATGCTCGCTGGTAGGGACTTATCTACGGATTTATTTGAAAATGAGTATAATTTGTGGCAAACCTAAATTATAATGAGAGGAAAAAAGCAAGAACATCCTACAATAAATAACGCACAAGGCGCCCACAAACAAACTAGGGCAAGTTGGTACAGCTGCACCCTCTTCCCCTTTACTTGACACATCAGAGAGGCCAATTAGTTCTCAGACAGAAGTCCATTCCTTCCTCCAGCTTAATTCCTAAGGGCAGATACTTAACTCGACCTCGGAGTCAGTGGCCAGCTATTAGTTTTTCCCTAACACCGCTCAGGTTTCCAGCTCCCATTTCAAAGCTGCCCCACCTCTCTAACACCTGAGAACCTAAGCATCACATGCTTCCCTTTATTTGAGACAGAGCCTCGCTCTGTCACCCAGGCTGGAGTGCAATGATGCCATCTTGGCTCACTGAAACTTCTGCCTCCCAGGTTCAAGCGATTCTCCTGCCTCAGACTCCCTAGTAGCTGGGACTACAGGCACAGGCCACCACACCTGGCTAACTTTTTTTGTATTTTTAGTAGAGACGGGGTTTCACTGTATTAGTCAGGGTGGTCTCGATCTCCTGACCGCATGATCTGCCCGCCTCGGCCTCCCAAAGTGCTGGGGTTACAGGCGTGAGCCACCGGGCCTGGCCAGCATCAGCATGCTTCCTTCTAGGCTCTCTCAGGGGTATGTTGTCTGTAAACCCAAACGGCTGGGCACATCAGCTTCTCCCCTTTCTGTGCTCAGTATCCCACCTGTTCCAGACACAGTCTAGTCCTTAGGCTGTCAATGATGAGGGTTTATCAGTGCCAGGTAAAATCACGAGGATTCACGGTGATCTGTACCCTAACCCAAGGGTTCTGGAAGAAACCCCTCCTTTTGTGGAGTTTATACAACTTGAGATTTGTATGCAGATAGGTAGACAGCATGGTACTGTTAGCACTTCAATCATTCTCAACCAAACTTTATCTCCCCCACCCCCAGCCCCTCTCATTTCTCCATGAGAACCCATAGCTATGGATACCCCTGGGCCACTCTGCGACAGGGATGAGAGTGGCACATCCATAAAAATCAAGCCTCTGCCGATTTTTGTCTAAAGAGGAAGCACAGACACCAGACCAAAGGATAATATGACAGTTATAGAAATCTGAGCCTTCATGCTGGTTATCAGGTCCTGGTGTTTCATCGCCAATGAAAAATGCAGAAGCTTTGCCTCTTGGTCCCCACCCAACTGGTTCTTCTTACCTTTGGCTCCATTGAAATGAAACTGTGGGTCCCTCTGCTCGAGATAACTGACCTTTTAATTGTCCTGCTATGGTAGAAGTGGTAGTAGTCCTTCAGAGCCCCTATCTGCAAAGGAAGGGTGGGAAAGAAAGAACAAAACGAAGATATTTAATGTATGGAAACCATATTCTGTTTTCCTGTTTTTCATTGAAAAAGAAACACAAAACAAAAAAGGTCTATAAATTATGCAGCTGCTGGCTGTGCTTAAATGTTACCTGAACCTTGGTGATCCCTTTCCAAAAGAAGGACATGTGGTATGAAATGGAGTGTCCTTGAGGCAGTGACTGCGGAACTCAAGACTATAATGGGGCAGCTTAGCCTCTCCAAAGCTCCTTTTAATGTTTAATTTATATGCAGCATTTTAAGTAATTCTATATCAATCTATACCCAAATGTGGGAAAGAGGGGGAAAAATCAAACAGCTATCTAGTTATAAAAATACATTGCATTTTGTTTGCTCTGAGAAATGTACAATGAAGGACCTTGTTAGATTATTTATACAGTTAATTTGAAATATGTCTTAAGCAATTGATCATTCACAAAGATAACATGACTTCGTTTGTTTCTGACTTCTGTAGACAGTATAAATACATAGCTCTTATGCATTTATTGCAAAACTACAAGTAAAATCATAACTTCTAAAATAAAACAAAAATCATACATCCTACCTATCAGCTAAGCTTCCTGTATAAAAACATTCACTTCTACTTTATCTTATCCATTTCTGTAACATTCTAGTCCTCTTATTTACATACAGTTTTCCTCAGTTAGGTCTGTTTAGAATGGCTTTGAATATAAGCCCCTGTCCACTTTGGGAAAAACCAGCTAGCAAAACCTCAATCAACCGTATTTTTTCAGTTATAAAATTTTCTCAATTTTAAAATGTGAATCACAAAATGAAAACTGAACTATGCATGGAAGACAGAAGAGCTTGGTTCTAATTCCAGCAGGCACTCACTGGAGCTAAATAACACACACTAAGTCTCTGTTTTCTTTTCTGTAAGATTGGACCTTGGGCTAGTTAATTTCCAAGACCACTGCAGTGCCCAGATTCCATTCTCGACACTCACATGCTTTGGGCAAATACCACAGTGGCTATGTCTCCAGGACATCCACGGCTCTGCCCTAAAATAATGACTATCATCAGGATGTTTTCCAATTGGGGCAAGTCAAAAGTTCAGCTTTCCTAATTTAAAAAAAAAAAAAAGTCTTGGCTCAGATTAATTTTTCCAGATGAAAGGTTTATTTCTCATTCCCTTGTTTTCATCACATTCTCAACCATCATCCCACTCAATTTCTGTGCTATTTAGAAATCATCTCCTCAGTAGGGCTTTACACAGTAATTGAATGTCTCATCATTAAGATTTGAAAGAAAGTCTAAGTCTCACATTTTTGATTCAAGTGGAAACTGCTCTGACCTGAACAGACGAAATCCTGGACTCTGAAAACAACTGGGGAATGCAGGCGGGGAAGCCTCTCATCTCAATGATCCTGGACTCTGAAGCAGCACTGAACAATGAGGAAGAGGGCACAGATGCCAACCTCAGCCTCCAGGAGTGTTTTAAGGAGGGATTTACAGGCCCATTTTAAGATTCCAGAGAACTAAGAGTAGAATTCAGGAGTGGATGGATAATCCTTTACAAGAAAACCTTAAAATCCCAAGAAGCTTAGAGTTTTCATCTTCTGTAACTTTTGTCAAGAGCTTTCTTTGGTAAATACAGTAGTTCTCATGGAAAGAAACAGACTCTCCATAAGGAAGATCCTCACAGAACAATCCCCTCTCATATCTGTTTTCTACCCAGCAGCTGGAATGAAATTTTCAAAATGCAAATCTGGCTGTGTTCTATGTCCTATCCTGCCTAAAATCCTTTAGTAGCTTCCCTTTGCTCTTAAAATAAATAGTATTAGTCAACAATTAATACTACTTCATAATATAGTTTTAAAAAGTAAATCAGAATAATAATATTGTATTAAATTTTTATTCACACTATGCCAGGAACTATTCCGTAAGCTTCATCTAACTCACTGAATAGAATATTATCCTCTTCTGACCTAGGGGCCTGCATGGTCTGGCCCAGCCTCTCTCTCTAGCCTCACCTCAAATCACACTCATCCTCATTTTCTCTGTACTTTGGCTGATATTGTCTGGCTGTGTCCCCACCCAAATCTCATCTTCAATTGTAGCTCACATAATTCCCTCATGTTGTGAGAGGAACCCATTGGGAGATAATTGAATCACAGGGGTGGGTTCCCCCATACTGTTCTCCTGGTAGTGAATAAGTCTTAAGAGATCACCTGGGTGTGGCAGTTCATGCCTATAATCCCAGCACTTTGGGAGGCAAAGGTGGGTGGATCACTTGAGGTCAGTAGTTCAAGACCAGCCTGGCCAACATGGTGAAACTCTTATCTCCACTAAAAATACAAAAATTAGCTGGGCATGGTGGCACATGCTGTAATCCTAGCTACTTGGGAGGCTAAGTCAAGAGAACCGCTTGAACCTGGGAGGCGGAGGTTGCAGTGAGCCGAGATTACACCACTGCACTCCAGCCTGGGTGACAGAGCAAGATTCTGTCTCAGAAAAAAAAAAAAAAAAGGATGGTTTTATAAGGGGAAACCCCTTTCATTTGGCTCTCATTCTCTTCTCTTGTCTGCTGCCATGTGAGACGTGCCTTTCACCTTCCCCCATGATTGTGGGGCCTCCCCAGCCATGTAGAACTGTAAGTCCATTAAACCTCTGTCCTTTATAAATTGCCCGGTCTTGGGTATGTCTTTATCTGCAGCATGAAAACTAACACACTGGCCATGCTGGCCTTCCTTTCGTCCTTGACTGTGTCATGCTCATTGTTCCCTCTACCTGCAGCACCTTCTCTATCTCCACCCACTCCGGCTAGACTGCTCTTCCTCATACTTAGTGTCTTATCTCAAGCAGGAAGTCTTCTAAAACTCCCCAGGCAAGGTCAGTTTCATTAATTATACCATCTCATATTAAGAGAATCATAAGAATATGCACCTCTAGTTATACCTTGATTAGTACAATTACTGGTTTAATGCCTGTGTGCCCATCAGCCACTACGTTCCACTGAGACAGGAACACATCTGTGTTTTGCTCACCGTTTAATTCCCAGCTCCCAGAACATGACTCAACACAGAAGAGGATCTCAGAAAAGATTGCGGAATGAATGGCGTGAACATCAGAATCCTTAAATTACTAAAACCACATACAGTAGAGCTACACGCAGCTCCTAATCTCAGTATGAGTATCAAAGAATTATCACATTAAGCCTAATTTCAGAAAAAATGGTTTAGTTCTACCTTAACTGCAGTACCAACTCTCCCAAGGTTACCGTTATCAAAGTTGTGAGTTGAGGCATCTCTATTCTTTATCTTGTTTCCGTTTGTTTGCAAGACAACAGCTAAAGAGTAAAGCACATTAGTTCAATTATTCTGCCCCATCCAAACAAAATACTCTATCATCTTCTAGGATTATATATATATATATATATATATATATATATATATGCATATTTATATGTAAAAGCATGTTTATGTCTCATCTATTAATATGCTTGTCCCTTATTGATGAGAATTGTCTTTTATATTCCTTCCTTTTACATTCTCTTTATACTCCAAGCATGCTGAGGGCATTTAATAGACATTAAGAAAAAAATGTCACAACATGTTGGAAGTTATTCAAAAGAAAGGCAGTGTATGAAAACAGAGCAGTGATATTATCTATAAGCAGGCATTCCATCTAGCTTCTAATGTAAAACAAAAGCTGATTGTGGTTATGTTATGCCATAGCAGCAAGAAGTAAAACAAGGAACAATATATAACTAACATGGGGACATCTTATAAATAAATCAGAAACAACAGGAGTATATGAAGTATAAAATCAACAGCAAATAGTGTAAAGCCCAACCTTTTCCGTAACGATAGCTACATAAAGGGAAGAGAGAATAATTTCTTCCCTCCTGGCCCTCCAAAGCTCCTCTTCTGTACCATCACACACTAACGCAACTTTGTACACAACACTAAGTCAATGAATTTCATCTCTTGCTCCTGATTCGGTCAAGTTTTTGCGCTTTTTCTTCCTGAGTGGTGGACCATCACCCTTGCACCTGGAATTTTCGAATCTCTATCCTTTCTAGAACCAAAGTGTGTTCTTAGGAAAGGCATTGTAAACTAGTTTATATTAATAAATGACTGGTAGACTCAATGTTTCAGTTCTTTCAGAGACACCTGCATTTGATCATAAAATTAAAACTTAAGCCAAACAAATGAGTTCACAGAGTTTGTAATTTCAAAAATATAGTCACTGAAGTTTTTGGTTTACTTTTGTTTCTAGCAGCGGGAAGGAACCTTCCCAATGTTCCTAAATTTTCATATCACAAGTAAGCTGATGACTTCTGAACAGAGAGCTGAGACCCACTTGTTACACTGGCTTTGCCCCTGAGGAGGAGCTGTGTGACCTTTCAGAAATCACTGACCGCCGACAGCTTCCCCTGAGCATGCAGCAAAACCCCTCACCAGTCTAATGACTCCTTGCACAGAGTTTGCAGCATCCTGTACATTGTTCTGTAAGGTAACCAACCGACCCCTGCAGAGGGTTTGCCTAAGAGACTAAGGTATTTCCTGGGACATAGGATTTTTCAGTGCTGAAACAGGGACAGTTGGTCCTCGTTATGAAGCACTGGGGGTGGGGTCACCAGCACTGTGGCCACCTTGAGGAACCTGTCCGTTCTCCTGGGCTGCTTCTCTGCTTGGTTTTCCCTCCTGCCTTCTTCAATGTATAAATTCCTCCAAATCTGTACCCACTTTTTAAAAAGTTATTTACCTCCATTCTACAAACAAATTAACCAAAGGGGAAAAGTTTTGAACGGACACTTCATAAAAGAAGATATACAAATGATGAATACACATATGAAAGGATGCTCAAATGCAAATTAAAATCATAATACCACTGCATACACACTAGAACGGCTAACATTAACAAGACAGGCAATATCGAGTTTTAATGAGATGTGTGGCATGAGAACTCTCATATATTGCTAACAGGGAGTATAACAT